TAAGCAAACAAAGCATTTAATTGATTATAAAACTGTTCACCTCAACAATAAGCAAACAAAGCATTTAATTGATTATAAAACTGTTCACCTCAACACTGCCTAAAAATTTGATTTGGTAAAAGGCTAGTTAAAGGCTAAATGTAGTAGAACACTAGCTAAAAGCCACGTGTAAGGAAAGGCTTGCTGAAAAGTACAAAATGGTAGCTATAAGTAGTTCAAACTGGCTAAAAGCTATATAGTATGTAGCAGGAGGCTAGCTAAAAGTGGCATAAGAATAGAAAAAAAACCAGGAAGTATGCAAACTAAAACAAGTAATGTGCTTGCTAAAAGCCAAAACTAGCAAAACAAAATAAAATAAAGCTGAAGAAATGAAGCTGTTTGGTACAAGCTACTCAATAAAATGGGTGAATTCAGTCAACATGTTCTTGGAGCTAACTACACTCAGCCCCACCCTGAAGCTCAACAGTGAATCAAGCACTTTCATGTCTCTTTATGAGAAGACATACAATATCTGACTTCAAGAGTTACCAGATTAACAAAATCATTTAAAAACGAAGCACAAGTGAAGGATTTTTTGTTGTTGTTGAAATAAGAAATACATCCTTGCACCATTTCTGTTTTTATTCAAAACTCAACTAACAAAAAAGAAAAAAAATCATTTTTTTCTGAATTAGATTTTCCATTTATTTTCCAATTTACATCAATTAGAGGTGTAACAAAACAAGAACACAAATTATCAGAATAAAAATGTATTCCAAAAAACAAAACAAAAAAAATGTACATGCCCTCACACAGAGACAACAACCCACCCTGGTTTAGTTTTTGAGCGACTGTCCTCAAAGTCCCAGCTGTGTGGGGGGGGGCAGGGGTTAGGGAGTCCAGAGGAGGCCTCCAATAGCCCCTGTCTCACCTCCTCCAGGGTGGAGTGTGAGGGTGTGGTGAGAGGCTAGTGGGAATTGAGCGTGGCTGGGTGGGTTTGAAGGGGGTAGGGTGGGATTCATAGCACCTTCTGAGAAACGAACGTCCCAAAACAAATCAACAAAAAATCCCTCTGAAAACTACTGCTTTGGTCAGCTTAAAACTTTTATTTTCTTTGGTTTTCTTCATCGTGAGGTAGCTTCAAACATTCTGGATGACTACACATAAAAGCAAATTTCTCTCCAATTCTTCAGATTTCATCTTTTTTTTTTTTTTTCACAAGAGCTGGGACTTTTTTTTACAGACGGGCAGTTTAATACACATCCCAAACATCACCTCACTTTTCAAAATAAAGCTTTGGTGTGTGTACAGACACATGTACACAAATTATGTGGAAATATATTTAAAAAAATAAAAAAAACTGGTTGTTTATAAACACAGACTTACAACACTAGAACCAAATATTTTATAATACACAGCAAAGTTTTTATGCTCCTGCTCATGATGGACAGGCCTGGAGCTCCTGGTTGAATTTACCTAATTTTATTGGTCTACCTGGGTTCAAAATGTTGTGTTTACGTAGGTAGGGGAAAAAAGAAAGTGGAGGTGGTGTAGGACCGGGACAGAGGTTGTGCAGCTGTGGAAACGGGTGAAGGGGTGGGGGGGCTCGTGTGAACCCCAGTCCAGTCCTACCTCAACTCAACCCGCTCAGGTTTCGACAATAAATAAGTGACATCAAGTCATGTTTCTGTTCTCCGTAACGTGTTCGCTTGGTCCCGCTTTCTCCCGACTCAGACTCGTCCCCGTCATCAGCTGGGCCACAGGGGGAAACATGACTGGATCTCAGAGAAGGGAGGAGGGGTGTGTGGGGAGAGGGTCGACAGGGAATGCAGGTGGGGTGAATAGATATTGCCGGTGCCCTTCAGTGCTCGCATCCAGGAAGTACATCTTGGAGAGCACTTTGTTGTGAGAGAAAACGTATAAATCTTCTGTTACTTTCAATTTCCAGGCTTCTTTATTGTGGAAGTGTTTGTGTTGTTTCGTGGTTGAGTTTTTTTTATATCATTTATTTATTTATTTCCTGTGTTTAGAGGGGTGGGGGCTTGTTTTGATTCTCCACTTTACAAGAAGCAGACGGCGCCGACATCCACTCCGAACTCCTGATCTGCTCCTCCGATGTCCATAGGAGCAATGTCTACGATCGGCAGACGGGAGGTTTTCTGTGTTTTGTACTCGAAGACGGTCTTGCCCCACCGGCCTGTGTGACTCTGTTGGCAAACGAGAGAGAAATTTGTAACTACGACTTTATCGTGAAATGAAAAACGTGTTAGTGGTTGATCCCACGCTCCCACCTTGCAGCCGTCCTCCAACACGCTGTAGGTGAACCGACTGTTGCCCTCGGCACGGATCTCTACGTCGTTGGAGCCCTGCAGCAGCAAAGCCTTCTTCAGGTTTCCTGTGGCTTGATCCATGTAGGCGACACTGTTTTTGCAGTGATACGTGAGGTTCTGGGATGCTTCAGTGGACAAAAGCCTCAGGAAGGTCAGCTGGACACTGGCAGCGATGGCAGCAGGGCCGTCCTGAGCGTAACTGAACTGTGGATCCAATCAAAGGAAACGGGGGTCAACAGCTTCCTCGTTAGTCTCCTACATTATAATGATGTGTTTTTTGGACTTACGTGAAATCCTCCACTCATGGTCTCTCCAAACCAGACGTGTTTGCGGTCCTTGCTCTTGCTGGTCCACCAGCTCTTCCTTGGTACCGAGGCGATGCTCGGGTAGACGCAGGTCTCTCCTGTCTCCATGTCGCAGAAGACCTTGATTGCGTCCGCCGTGCTGCCGATGTTGGGATCCACCCAGTAATCGCCTGAGAAATGAAAGAGATGGTTAGATAAGACCAGAGGTTTGACATGATCTCTGGTCGGACATTTCAGTCCACTGACCGCTCTTCCACTCTGGGTGACACAGTTTGAGGTCTCTGCAGGTGCGAGCCGGGTTCTTCTGGGTGCCGTCGGGACTGCGCAGGTTCTCGATCTGGTTGTTGAGGGACTTGAGCGTGGAGTCGACCTCGACGTCATGCTGCCTCAGAGAGCTGGAGGCCTCGTCGGCCCTCATGTACCTGAGAGGATCGGGGGACTTCTCAGTCTGGCCCAGGCCAGCAAAGGCAGAGATGTCAATGCCTGGGCCTGGTGGACCAGGAGGACCAGGGGGTCCGGTATTACCAGGAGGACCCTGAAAAAAACAGGACATTAGACCGGACCAGAATGAAGTGGAAAGCAGGCTTCTGATGTGCTTTCCTTGTTTGTTTTTACATACAGCAGGACCAGTTTCTCCAGAACGTCCACGAGGTCCAGGGGGTCCGATGGGGCCAGGCTGTCCATTAGATCCATCTTTGCCAGCAGGTCCAACTGGTCCAGGTGGTCCCTACAAAATAAATAAATAAAACTGTTTAATTTCCTGAACTTGTCTGCCTATTTTCTCTTTTGAACCACCTTTTAGCCTGAACAAGGAAAAAATCTGATACAACAAATTTTAATTCACCTCCAGTTTCTCCCCATCAACTTCAGAACCTTCTTATGCACAGAGTTAATTTGTGAGCTGACATTTCCCTTCACTCCTCTCTTATCGTGCACACGGCTTAGCTAATCTAGACTAGACGCTAAAGCCTATTTTCTGATCTCAGCAGGGGTTGTTTGACAAATCACGCTCCTCTCTGTCTGTCTGACACTTTTCCTCATAAGAGTAATTACAAAACGTCTTGGACGCCCGTCGTATTTCAGAGGGGAGTAATTAAACCTTTCCGGTCCTCTTTATCTGCTGATTGAAGGCGCATACTAAGATTAAGTTGCATGTTTTATTATCGCATATCTTGACAGATTAAAAAGCTGCAGGACTGAGATGAATTTTCTTCTTTTCTCTCTGTTTCTCACCTTCGCTCCGCTTGGTCCAGCGGGTCCGGCAGTGCCAGAGTCTCCAGCAGGACCCTATCAGGACAAAGACAAGCTCAGAATAAAGAACGTAGGGGTTTTTTTTTTCAAGTGACGCTGCAGAATGACTATTAGATCACTTACTGGGGGTCCAGGAAGACCCTGCAGACCGGTGAAGCCACGGTGACCCTTTTGCCCTCTCTCTCCAGCCTCACCAGCCTCTCCTTTGTCTCCACGTGGTCCTTGGGGTCCCTGAGGGACAGGAAAAAAGTGTAGCATTTTGATGTAGTTCAGTCAAATTCAAAATGGTCAGAGACGATGATACTGACAGCCATTCCTCGAGCACCAGCTAGTCCTGGGGGTCCTGCAGGTCCTTGAGCCCCCTTGAGAAAGACAGTGATTATAGCTGCTGGTATGAAGTGTTTAAAATGTTCTATCAGTGGTTCTTACAGGCTGATGTTACTTACAGCCTCTCCTCTGTCGCCCTGCTTGCCAAGGGGTCCGACAGGTCCAGGGGCACCAGGAGCACCAGGAGCTCCAGGAGCGCCAGCCGGACCGGTGTTCCCTCGTTCTCCCTGTGCAAAGTAAAGATGAGCACTAAGAACCATTTCTGCTCCAACTTGCATCATCAACAACAATTATATTTTACAGATTTCAGCATTTTCTGCGCAGCCGAAGCCTCTCACCTTGATTCCAATGGCCCCGTCTCTACCGGGGGGTCCATCTGACCCAGGAGTACCCTGAGACACAAAAACACATTTAAAAAATGGTGTGCTTGAAATGTGTTGCTAATGTTTGATTGTTGCTGAGCAGCTCTGACCTCTCTGCCCGGTTCTCCAGAAGGTCCAGTAAGTCCAGGCGGTCCTACAGGTCCGGGAGGTCCACGGTCACCGGCACTACCAGAAGCTCCCTGTTTACCAGGCTCTCCCTGAACACACGGGAAGTATCGACATTAATATTCAGACACAGTTGGGCGTCTGAGCTAAAACAAGCTAAAACCCTTACAGAGGGTCCAGGGAGACCAGGGAAGCCTCTCTCTCCGCGCTGACCAGGCAGACCAACAATACCACGAGATCCTGCCAGACCCTGAGGACCTGAAGGCCCATCAGCACCCTAGAGAGGAACAGAAACAAAGATAGAGATGAATTGTAAAAGTTCTCAAACTACGTAAAGAAATCGTCTTTAGAAGCAGACAGGAGGAGGTTTTGTCTTCTAACTCACAGGAGGCCCATCCTCTCCAGGCTCTCCTTTCTCTCCTGGAGGCCCTGCGGGTCCACGAAGGCCAGGGTCTCCTGCTCTGCCCGGGAGACCTGCATCACCACGCACACCCTTTGGACCGTCTTTACCAGCAGGGCCAGCAGGACCGGCAGAACCAGGGTTACCCTTTGATGGAAACACATACAAGTCTAACAGGTGAGGGATAAAAACACTCGAACAAACGTAAAACATAAAATCAGTTTAAACTTCTGTTTTCTTTAAAGTGGCTGTAATACACATTTCCTACAAATACAATAAGCGGAAAAAAACATCTTAATATAAAAAGATATGGTTTTATCTATGTTATAATTTATTTTTGAACGTGGCGCTGCTAAAGTGAAACAGGAAGTGATGACAAAGGGGAACTCGCTGGTCTTTGTTGTTGTTAGCTATGATGCTCTGTTTACGTGCAGGTGTTACTGTTTGACATCACTTCCTGTCACTGCCACGATCCCATCAACCACACTCGTGGCATGAATTCTTTTTTTCAGAATGTTTCATGTTATTTTTCCAACAATGCATTCTTATTTATCACAAGGAAACTGATGTCACTAATTGCATTAAATACTTACGTTAGGACCTGGAGGTCCGACTCTGCCAGCAGCACCGGGGAAACCTGTGGCTCCCTGTCAAGGAGGGGAAAAGTTGATGTGAAAAAAGGCGTGTTTATAATAGTAAGACTTTTTTTTTAGTTTCTGCTCTGTGTTGTTTTCCTTTCTGACACAACAGAGTCAGTGTGTTCCAGATGAAAACTTTATAAACTTGCTCTTCAGGAAAGATGCTAAAGTTTTTGAACCAAGCATCTGAGGAAAAAGTGGAAAAATACTGAATACTCATGAGCAAACCTGTGGTAAAAGTACAACTGAAATAAGAAAAAATGGAACACTGATATATAAAGCACATGTACGTATGAAAAGTGAAACCTTTTATGGATTTGAAATAATTATTAATCTTGTGAATGTGATGTATTAGAAGGTGTAGCAGGAGGACAGATTATCTGAGGTGATCAGGCTCATAAACAGAAAACTAATAGTGAAATCTAAAAGGTTTATTGTATTTTTTTAATTGCTTTCAGAAAGGATTAGACATTCATTATTATTATTATTCTTGTTTTTTTATCATTAACAATAGGTTGATATGGTTGTAAATTTATGCAACATTTCTCATGTGGGTCAGTAAAATGAAACATGATGTGATGTAGTTTAATATGCTCCACCTGCTGGAGGTTTATCTGTAAATATTCACAGTCTGCTGGTATCAAAAGCATCTTTGCAAAGCTTATTATAGCTGTATTAGAAAAAAAAGTTTAAATTGTTTTTTGCTTGACTGGGTAACAGGAAGTTGTAACAAAAAATGAACTGCAACAAGTATTTGTTTGTTTTAAATAAAGTCAGATTCATAAATCATCACTTTCTGAGAACTATTTTCAGTGAATTTGGTGTAATCCATATTCTTTTACTTTTCTTCTAACATGGAAGCAGTCTTGCCAGGTCAAGTTGTTTTTAATTGTAATTATTTATTACTTTATTAATTATTTATTACTATTATTATGTATAATGACAATAAAGGTCTCTCTAATCTAATCTTATTTTATTTTTAAGTTGATGCAAATCCTTTTAGGCCAATATAAGCCTCATCGTGGAATTCCACTTCAGGTTTGTCTCACTGTTACCTGTCACTGGATGCACCACATATTGAATGTTGAGGATGTTTTATTTATTTATTTATTTATTTTTACATTTTAAATATTTTAAATCTGGTACAATAGAGTTAGATTTCATCAAATTAAATTTCAGTGGTGGCTGTGAAGTCATTTAGGCAAAACGATGCTCGCTGTACAATCAGTTAAATTATAGTTCAGATTTATAAGATGTGCTCTGAATGTTGTGCAAAGTGGTTACTCACAGGAGGTCCTTGAGCACCACGTGCTCCCTTGGGTCCAGATACGCCAGTAGGTCCCTAAAAAAGTAACAAAAATAATATTCATGTTAGACACCTGTCATTTATAAACACACTAATAAAAAACACCTTGTTTAAATTATGGACAGAATATTATTTTAGGTTCGTTTTTAGCCCTAAATACCCACCACAGGTCCAGGAGCTCCAGATGGTCCCTGAGGTCCAGAAGCACCAGCTTCTCCCTTTTGTCCACTCTCACCATTCTCTCCCTTGGCACCTGGCTGACCATCTGCGCCCTAATCATTATTCAGAACAGCAATAAGAGCCCGGACGTCCAAAAAACAGGATTTAATTTGACAAACAGAGGAAATCATGAAGATTTTTTTTCTTTTTTTACTTACAGGAGGTCCAGCAAAGCCGGCGGGCCCAGGAGGACCGAGCTCACCTCGATCACCCTGCAGGAGTGAAGAAGTTATTATTAATAAATAAATGAAGGAAGAGAGTAAAAACAGAAGTTATAAAACCAATCAAAGGTTTTCAGCAACAAAACGTTCTCAGGAAAGAATGCAGCAAACTTAACTTTATATATAACAAGTAATTCAAATAAAATATAGAATTTGAGCAGTTTGATTTAAAACTTTAGATGGGATCAATTGAATTTTTTTGTTTGTTTTTTGTTGAAGCACAAATACAAAAACAATTCTCAAAAAGAGCAGGAAAAGCAATTTCTCTTATAGAAGATTCATTCGTTTGTTTAGTTTTTCTGAACGCATTCTGCATTAACCTGTTAGGTCTATAAACAGGATGAAATCTAACAGGACAATTCTCTCTACAGACTCTTAACTGAAGAATGAGTCAATGAAGTTATGGAACAGAAAGATCAACTAAACTGCTCCGGGGGCCACAGTTACTGCAGGCCAACAGATGAGGGGCCGAACATCCAGAAATTAAAGTCATTATTAAATAAACCAAGTATCACAAACATCTGTTACCTTTGAAATAGTTTATTTTGCTGCATTTAATTATGAATACAACATACAGAACCCTATGTAATAAAAATAGTGATATTAAAACTATATCAAAACCAAAATAAAACATTATGCCTCCTATTTAACACAAATATTATTTTGACATCTTTTAGTTTTATCTTCAACTGCTTGTAGTTTTAACTGTCTTTGGTGTTTATTGAAATGTTTTTTTTACCAGCTATTAGCCAACATTCTAATATTTCTGTAGATACTACACAAGTATGTATAACTAAAAGAATTTATAGTAATTAAAGTAGAAAACCAGGGGTTTGGGCTTAAGAGATGAATGAACCAATTGGCGAGCCGAACTTTGGTCACCCGTGGGCCGGATGTGGCCCGCTGGCTGCCATTTGAACAGCCCTGTCATAGAAGCAACAAGGAGCTGTGGTGATTGTTTCTGTAACTCTCTTATTGGACATCTCAGATTATAAATCACATCAGCTGATCAACGCAAACCTGTCCCCTCCAGAGCTTTTATACATTTTTTATTAAAAAATAAATAAAAATCCAAACTCAAATGTCCAGGTTTCTCAGTTTGGGTCACGTTTGATGTTCAAATATAAAGATTTTCAGTATATTTGATTAAAAAACACCAAACAAACTCTGTCTAAAAATAGAGAAAGTAAAATGTTGTTGTGTGAACATGTATTTCATATATTCCTGATGGGAACAAGGAAGGTGAAACAAAAAGGTTTTAGCCCCGCCTCCTCCACATAGGACTAGATGCACTTTAGATTTTATTCTTGGTAAAAAATAAAAGTACAACTCATGCTGTCTTTTTTCCCCCTCAGGTTGACTATTCTTAACTCACATTGTTCTTACCTTGTATGTTCAGATATTATATTTTCATATTTTAGCTGTAATAATTTATATCATGCATAAAACAGAAGCATGGCGGTGCCATAAACCAGGTCCTGCTGATTCAGTTCCCAAAATGGGAATACAGAAGGCATCAGTGTTAAATTCAAGGTAAATGAATCAAAATGTGACATTATACTGACTGTGTCTATCTTTTGCATTTAATTAATATGAAAAGCATGAAATAGTAAAAACAAACAAAAAATTAAATTTAGGAGTACAAATGCTTTTCCATAATCCAGTTTTTTTCTAAACATTTTAAAATTCCTACACAACCTTGTAGGAACATTTATATTTGAGGAAGTACTTACAGGAGCACCTCGAACACCTGGAGCACCGGTGGGTCCTGTAGGTCCGGTCTCACCCTAGATCAAAAACAGATCACTTGTAAAAAGAAGTCAATGAACAATATTTCGAGTTTTGATTCAACCTAAATCCTGCTTCATCTCATTACTGATACAAACAGTGGTGCAGAGGCCAAATGATACAAAAACTTACTTCATTTGAACAATAAATCCTGTTTTTGTTTTATTCAGTTTCATTTAGACAAGCTGTCAGTCCTCGAGCCCTTAACTAACTCAACAGTAGTATGTCACACTTACCTTAGCTCCGTTGGGTCCAGATGGACCAGGAGGACCGATTGGACCAGTCAAACCCTGTGAAAAACACAAACGCAGATGGAGAGATAAGAGAAAATGCAGCGAGGAGAACAGAAGTAACAGATTTATCTTGAACTCACCCTCGCGCCGTCCTTTCCAGGAGCACCTTCAGGTCCTTTCTGTCCGTTGTCACCCTGTTGAACAAAAGAGATAAATATATTTTTGTTACTTTTACTAAAATAAAAACAGTGCAGTACAACGACAAGCATTTAATTTGTGATCCCAAACTAAATCTGTAACAACTTACTCTGTCTCCCTTGGCTCCAGGGATTCCACCGGCTCCTCTCTCTCCAGGCATACCCTGCAGGCCAGGGGGTCCCTGAGATCCAGGAGCTCCAGCTGGTCCAATCGCCCCCTGATAAAAATAATAAATAATAATAATTAGAATAATTCAGTTGATTTATTTTGAATTTTCTCTGAAATTACTGTCCCTTAAATATTCTCCTGTGGCTCACAGAATGTTGTGCTGCTCCAGTTTTAAGAGAAATACCTTTTTTAATTTACACCTTAAAGCTACAAAGTTTCACTGGACTAAAAGGTTTATGTTCATTCAGTCCTTAAATAATAAAATAAAATACTCCATGAAACCAGAAACATGACATTACAGGACATTTTAATTTAAATGTTTCCTCTCAAGATATAAAGAAAAACCTTATGATTATAGAAAAACTTGAATATTTGGTTGAGCTGATTTAATTAGCTCAGTTTAACACAGATGAACAGCTAACATGTCTCTCTTCAAAGGTAACCAGATTTGTCCCAAAATATCATTTATTCAAAAAGAAATTTGAGTCAATAAAAATAAAATTGTTAAAGAGGGTTATTTTATGTTAAAACAAGTCATTTTTCACTGGTCAGCAGTGACTTTTAGTCATTATCAGCTCTGGAGCAACAAGTGAAAACTCTCTGTAGTCACTTTTCTCATTAAGAAATCTGAACCAGTTCAAAGAAAAAAATGGGATATTTATTGTTGGTCTTATGGGTCAAGAGTTCTTCACAGTTTGTATCGATGGTGTCCAGTCCTGGTCCTTAAGGACAATTATCCTCCTTAAGGACAATATTGTGCCATTTTGGCATGCTTCTCCTCCTGCATACTTTATCCTAGAGCTGCCATTGTAATTTATATCTGTAAAGCTCCTGTGCCAAATGATGGCTATGTCTTTTGGTGCCTGTACAACTTTTAGTTTTTGAAATATTAATGTTTAATAATTTATAATGGGAGTCAATAGAGCCTTGTATTGGTCCAATACTTCCCCCTGCTGTATCTACTCGGTACTGAACCATAGTTTAATAATATTTGATCTCAATTGTTCAGTGGTTACAATACTAATATGATTGTATTTTGATGTTTTACTATAATGTTGTCTTAATACTGCTCTATTGTTATAATATTACGCAGTTTAGTGTCAATAATTGTTTTGGCAATGTGGCCTCTTTCTGCACACATACAAACCAACCCCTGGCAATCCCCTCTGCCACAGCTCCAATGGTCTAATGCTCAATGCCATGGACTTTCATGTGGGAGAACAGGGCTCAAAACCCAGCTAAAGCAACTTTAACAGAAAATCTCTACAAACTTCATATTGTCACACAATTACCCTCATTACAAATACGTGCTGACTTGACAAGCACAAACTGGTATAAAAAACACATTTGAATTTGGTCACAGCTCATTCTGCAAGTGCACTGCTGCAGCCATGCTACATGGCAATGCACACTTGTTTTTACATCGTAAAAACCCATGTCTAGTTTTAGTTGTTTTCCTGCTCTTCAGCAGGTCATCAAGTTCTGCAGAAGCTTGTTTATTTCTTATTGATTGAAATCACATGTTGAGGCAGAGGAACATCCAAACCATGCAGGATGGTGGTCCTTGAGGACCAAGACAGAACCTCACTGAGTTTTTTATTTTATTTTTTGTGTCACACCATAAATCTGTGAGGGATTTAGAACCATAAACAGACACAAAGTTCTCCAAATATTCTGCATGAATATGAAGGAAAGGAGCGACAGCTGCACCGCCTGCCCTACCCTTTAAGAAGTAACAACTTGAGTGGGTTTACGAGTCATCTACACTGACCTTGGGTCCATCAGTTCCGGGTGTTCCAGGCAGTCCACGGGGTCCCTGAATACCCTGGGGACCAGCACCACCTCTTTCACCAGGGAAGCCACGCTCACCCTGTTAGGGAACACCAAGCAGTGGATCAGTATGGTGAAATAAAATGTGTTCATGTCAGTTTACCTCAGAGCAGCTACAATGTAGCTCACCACCATCAGTGTGTGGATGTGTGTGTGAATGTGTGTGTGAGAATGTGTGTGTGTGATTGCAGTGTGAAGAGCTTCAGAGTCCGTAGGGACTTGATAAAACGCTACACAACTATAAAATTTTCCATTTAGAGACATGCATGAAATGTTTCCCTGAACATGAGAGGTTTGCTTTGAACTGATAACGATGAAGACATGGTAACTCACTCTGGGTCCAGCAGCTCCAGGAGCTCCACCTTCTCCAGGAACACCCTGTGGAGTTCACAGAAACCAGTTAGCACAACAACACCTGCAGAACAACTGGCTCTGTTCTTACAGCAGTTGATAATATAACTCAGCTAAAGACTAAATACAAAATAAGGTATTCAGAGATAAATAAATGTGGTCATGATGTGAAAGTTTGACTGATGAGCGTGTTTAAACACCAAATTGAGTTGTTGGTTATCATTAGCATTGGAATACTGTATGTAAGCCATCACATAAAACACACAGGTTAGATCAAACTTACTAACTAAAGAGGGGCAGTTCAAGGGGTGGGGCCATAGGGGCATTGGGCCCATCTGAAATCTGATTGCCCCCCTGAAGGGCCCCCTGTCCTTTCACTCGTCTGTCCTTGCCCAAGAACAATGATGGTGGCTGCAGTTCCACTTCCAACCACTAGTGGCGCCAGTGAGTCAAATAGGAAAGCCCAACTTGAAGCAAGCTAATAGAAGCCTTTTTCAATTTGAACAATACTGCAGAAAAGTTTTTACTGACAACAATGCCTGGATTTTCTCACGTTGTGTGTTTGAGAGTATTTTATTTATGTACAGTAAAAAAAATCATGTAAAATTGATAAGGAGAATTTACTGTGCAAGCTTTAGTGTTTGAACATGTGTGACTGATTAAATGTATAAATGTTACAAAAACTGGGGATTTGTGTGCAACTATGTTCAACAAAGACTTAGCCACTCTATGAATATTGTGGCCCCTTGATGGCCACTTACACTGAAAAATCCTAGATCCGCCACTGTAACTAAACAACATTTTGTAATTTGCTTTATTATTACATACAAGACCAGAAAATATTTCACCTGATCTCCAGGTTTTCCAGCCTCTCCTGGAGACCCAGCTGGTCCAGGCAGACCCTGTCCAACAACAGTAAAAGACTCATGAGTTCATGTTTTAAAATACAGATTCAGTCATTAGTTATTGACGTTGGATGATAATGTGTGGCAGCTTCTCGTTCAAGTTAAATGTTTCCTTTTTCTTGAGAGAGTTTTGATGAAAATACAAACTCACCTGGAAGCCTGGGGGTCCAGGCTGTCCTTGCTCTCCTCTCTCTCCAGCAGGTCCCTGCGTGGATGGATCCAAACCCGTTAGATCATTCAAGCAGACTGTGGTCTTACTGAAACACAAACCTGCACTGAAATACTCACAGAAGGACCAGGAGGTCCGGCAGGTCCGGTCTCACCATCTTTTCCAGCCAGACCCTGTGGAGAGAGGAGTACTTACATCAGGAAAAATTATGTGACATTTTGGATCTGTTTGGGTGATTTTTTTTTTTACAAGAGAACAGAGTATTTCTGTTAAATAATGTTCTTACTCTCAGACCAGGACGACCTATAAGCCCCTTTTCTCCTGCTTTTCCAGGTTCACCCTGTTGAAGACACACTTGCATCAGCTTTAAAGTGCAGAAAGATTAAAGCAGGTGTGTGGTTTGTGCACCTGTGCACACTCACATTGGCGCCCTTTGGTCCAGGGAATCCCATCACTCCGGGCTGTCCGCGAGCTCCCTGAGGCCCAGGTGGACCGGGACGACCGTCCTCACCGGGGGCACCCTGTCAACCAATAATCATACATTAGCTTAGATTCAGCTTTTGTCATGAATATATGCAGAACACTTTGATTTTACATCCAATATTCAAATATTCCAGTGAATGAATTCCAGGAAGACACGATTCACCTTTTAGCATTTCAATCCAGTTCAACACAGGTCTCTAGTTGACCAGGTTTTATAGTGCATTATGGTTTAAAATGGTGTTTTAGGTTTTACTCACAGAGGGTCCAACTTTGCCTTGAGGACCAGCATCTCCAGGACGACCAGTGAGTCCCTGTGACAGGTGGACAACGTGTTGAAGACAAAATGTTCACAGAGAACAAACTAAAGCTAAAATCTTTCTCTCTTCACAGCCAACAGAGCGAAGCCCCATGACTCTCTGTTTTGATACTGAACTCACTCTGGCTCCGGGTAGACCAGACTCTCCTGTGCGTCCAGGGTCTCCTGTAGCACCTTTAGGCCCAGCGGCACCAGGAACGCCCCGATCCCCAGGAGCGCCCTGCGGGACAGGAGACAAGAGTTGTTCCACCACCACTGAAGTCTTTTCAGCTGCTGAAACCTCACTGAATTAATGGTTTTGGGTAAAATCAGTTTAAGAATCACCTTAGCTCCTGCCAGACCATCTTGACCGGGGAAACCACGGTTTCCTGGAGCTCCCTGAAAAACAAAAATCACAAAAAGAAAACGTTCATTTGAATAATAAGTGCGTGAGCTGCAGTGTTGTATAAAGTACCACAAAGTGATACTTGAGTAAAAGTTCAAGTGTCTTACCAAAAAATTACTTTGATAAAAGTTAAAGTCTCCTTTAGGAACATTACTTGAGTAAAAGTCTTAAAGTATCTGATATTTTTTGTACTTAAGTATTAAAAGTAAAAGTACTGATTTAAAATGAGCAGTTAGATTTTCTGTAATGATATTTATTAGGAGGTGACCTCCCCAAAAACTGCAGAAATGACTATATTGTAATAAAATTATTAGTTAATGTTAACTTTAGGATGCACTGGTCCAGCTGTTTCAGTTTATACTGTATACAGATATCAAGGCTGCCCAAACCTTTTCAACAAAATGAAAATCTATGTGAGGGCTGCAGCCAAATACAATAATATAATTCATGAAATACAAATACTTCTTAAGTACAGTCTTTATTTTAATGATTATGTCCTGCTGGAGTGTGACATGATTTGTTTGTGTACAAACTAATACGCTATCAGAGTTTTACTTATTTATACTTCTCATTCAACCACAATTAAATTCACTTTATCTAGGAGGCACAATTTATATGGATAGTATTTATTTATTACAATAACAATCTGGAATAAAAACAAGCAAATTGAAATAAAAGTAACAACTTTTTATTTTGTGCCGTTTTTTAAATGTAAGAAGTAAAAATTACAGATAATTGTGTGAAAATGTAAGAAGTAGAAGTAAAAAGTAGGCTGAAAATAAATTACTCAAGTAAAGTACAGATACCAAAGAATTCTACTTAAGTACAGTAACAACGTATTTGTGCTTAGTTACTTTACAACTCTGGTGAGCTGACAGCAACTATAAGTTCATCTTAGCTTCTTACTCTTTCTCCTGGAGGTCCGTTTGGTCCAGCAGCTCCAGGTTCTCCTCTGGCGCCCCTCTTTCCCTCTTCTCCAGCAGGACCTGGGGGACCTTGAGGACCAGCAGGGCCCTGGAAATATTGAGGTATTTCAGAAAATCTACACGTTTTACCAGGTTTCTCCTCACAGATTTGGATCTAAGTTTTTTTTTTTATTTAAAAAGCAACTCACAAGCTCTCCTTTTGGTCCAGATTCACCTTTCAGTCCAGGTAGACCAGGATCCCCCTAAAGAAAACCAGAAGGAACAGTTTAATATTAGAAAACAGGTAAACATTTGTCTAGTTTTGGATCTTCCTGAGCTCGCTTACAGACTGTCCTTTGGGCCCCAGAGGTCCAGTTGCTCCCTGAGGTCCAGGTGGTCCACGAGGGCCGGGGAATCCAGGAGCACCGGCGATACCAGGAGCGCCCTTTATGACACAAGAAGTAATCAAATCTCAAAGCAAAGCAACGTGAAGCTAACAGAGGAATCTGAACCAGCTGCTAAGGCAGGTGGACTTACAGCAGATCCTTTGGCTCCAGGAATCCCGTCGGTACCCGGGTTACCCTGCACAGACCCAGAAACACTCTTCAGTTATAATGTACTCGTAAGCAGAGACGGTTTCAAATGATCTCAATGAATGGATAAATCAGAGTCAGGGTTAAGCTTTGACGAACCCCTGCTCCGGCAGGTCCAGGAGATCCTGGTGTACCAGCTTCTCCGCGGGGACCCTGCTGGCCTTCAGCTCCTCGGGCACCAGTGGGACCAGCTTCTCCCTGACCAGACAACTCATTTAGTTTGCACCATCATATCAAACAGCTGAGGCTGATTTGGTTTTATTAAAAGTGTACAAATAAATCAGATCTCTGCCTAAATTATATGTTTTACTAACAAAGGAAGTAAAAAATATGAAATAATTAATAAATATAGTTTTTAAAATGTTTCTCTGAAGCTGGTTAACTCTGACAGAAATGCAATCAAAGAAAAAAAACCTTTGACATTTATTTAACTTGTCCATCAGGTTATATTCAGAGAAACATTTGTGGTCCGTACAAACCTTGGCTCCTGGGGATCCTGGGAAACCGGGTGCTCCAGCAGGACCGACTGGGCCCTGCAGATAAAACACAGACCCTCAGATTTGATCCAAAATCTCACTGTTATCTTTGTCTGTCGTTACACCGAGGTAACAGGAATATGAAAAAATAATAATTCTACGTACAGGAGGACCAGCAGGACCAGGCAAACCATCATTTCCACGAGCGCCCTGCAAAGCGCAACAACACCAGTCAGAGCTACGCATCAAAATCACATTTTGAAATGGTTAGAATGAATCTAAATGTGTATAAATAGCAACTAAACATTTACTCACTGCAGACCCAGCAGCTCCAGGACGTCCCCTCTCACCAGGCAGACCACGTGGGCCCTACAAGACACCGGGGGGGTTAGTCAAAGCTGCTATCTGGGTTGAGTTGCTGCCATGTCATTTTGTACAGTTTTATTCCACAGAACTCAGATTATCGTGTCAGAGTAGGTGAAGCTGAGGACACTCACCATCGCTCCGGGGGAACCGTTCTCTCCAGCAGAACCAGACTCACCCTGATTAAAACACACATGTGGAAAATCAGATGTGAGCAGAAATATGAAACCAAAGTGCAGATTTAAAGATCTCATCAGGTGACTGTACCTTGGCTCCTGCTGCTCCTGTCTCTCCCTTAGCTCCATCCAGACCAGGATGACCCTGCAAACAAGTCACGACAGCATCAGAAGCTGCAGCCCTGTGGATCTCATCCATCGCTTTATAACTGCACTTACTCTGTGTCCTTTAATTCCAGGAAGTCCAGGAGTTCCAGGGAATCCACGAGCTCCCTGAAACAAACACACACTTTGATGTTTTGTTCAATGTTTTGTGTTCTGACTCCTGACCTAAAGTTAGAAACGGGGGAAAAAATAGAAAAAGTTGGAAGATCCGTGATCCCTCACCTGAGGCCCTGCAGGTCCACGCTCACCAGGTTTGCCAGGTTTACCAGATTCACCCTGGAAAGTTAAAGAAACAGAAACTTTAGGTCATTAGGTCGTGAGAATCAAACAGCATTGTTAGGAGAGAGACAGCGCCCTCTAGTGGTGCAGAGAGTTTACAATCAAAAGTACTGTTTATGGGAAAGTTTGGTGCATCACAGATAAACTGAGATTAACTGAAACAAAATCAGTTTTTTTTAGCTTGTGCATAAAAACAGGATGTTTTTTATTCAATACTTTTACATAAATGGTTGTTTGGCCATGAAATGTATTAGAATTTAACTTTTTTGTGAACATAATTGAAATAAACGGTGAAAGTTTCAAGGCAGCTTACATCACTTCCTGGTTTTCCAGATGGTCCAGGTGGTCCACGAGGTCCCATTGGTCCCTGTCATGAAGCAAAGATGATTATTGTGGTCTTCGTGCACCACATAATAAAAAAATTACCGATGCAAAATGTGTTTCTGTCTCCTTTATTTTGCTGAGTCACAAAATCCAGTTAGGATAAATTCAAAATGAAGCGACGCTGCAGTTTATGTTCATTGTTGCCAGACACTTCACCCAATCCACCAGATTCAAAACAGTTACATGCAGATGCATTCTGGGATTAATGGTGACACTTACAGCTGGACCAGGCTCTCCAGCCTCTCCAGGGGAGCCTTGGAAACCTTGTGGTCCCTGTTGAAATGACAAAACATGTGTGTCAACAACTCCTGATGCAATCACACAGAAACTACATGAATTTTAACCCAAATCACAAGCTGAGCTAGAGATGAAGTGAAAGAACTTACGGGAGCTCCAGAAGGTCCAGGGGGACCACGGGGACCCATGGGGCCCTTCAGGAGACAGAAGACAACACATCAACATGGCAGGTTTTATTTTGAAACTGCTTTTAGAGGAAACAAATAGTTGAAAATAAATGTCCTGCTTTGAACTCTCATCGTCCACAGCTAGAAAAAATACATATATATTTTAGATGTTTTAGAGTTTGAAACTCGTTTCCATGATTATCAAGTTATTATAATTTACTTTATTCATTCATACTCAAATCATTAAAGCTCTTCTTTTAGCCTGAGCTCAAATTCAGTCACTGGGACGAGAAAGTAAAGTCACTGAATCACAAGGTGGTAGTGTTGCCTCCATCCTCAGTTTTTCCTCATCGTATTCCACCAGCACAGTGTCACACAGCAGAGTTTTGTCTTGGAGGCAGAAGAAAATGTCTGTATTATGAAAAACAAGGGCTTTTGCAGTAAACAAAAAAGATCTCACCATCGGTCCTTGCATCACGCCCATCTGAGCTCCTCCAGCCTTCTCATCGAAGCCTCCAGCCATCTGAGCAGCAAAGTTCTGACAGCAGAGAGAACAAGAACTCAGTGAGTTTACAGAGTTTGTCTGCCTTTGCTACAAGAGCTGTGGACATTGGTTTACACTGCTGCTTTATTACAGCGATTTAAGATTTGTGCTGTGTGCTCTCAGTTTGTCTGTTCATGTAACAAATACACTTTAAAATGTCTAAAATGGATGTATTTATTTGAAAAAATGAAAAAAGAGAAGATTTTTTTCTTCTTCTGCTACCTTTCATTTTATTTAATTTGTATTGTTTTGTTT